AAACGTTTTTCTTACATAACGGATTTAATTAATCGCAAGTGCAATAATATAGTCTAATAGTGTAACCGTAAATGAAATTAAATAACTAGACATCGTCCAAATCGGAACCAGAAATTCTTTGAGTATAAAATGTTTCTTGAGTTTTGACAACCAGAAAGAAGAATACCTTGAATCATTGTTGTATAGGGCTGTGACACTGAAATGATCGTCGCCAATAGCTTACAAAAAAGGTTTCCACTCATTGACGGCGCTTCAATGGCGATTGTGTAAAGTGTAAAGTAAAAAATCACAACTGCAGTGGGTGATTGTAACAGAGGTTTAACAGAGGAAGTGCTAAACTCGAATTTCCAATGTGTCACTTTCTGTTTCTACTCACCGTGTGATGCAATCGCTGGACCATACAGCCAATAGGCCCATAGCTCATATCTTGGGTACGTAAGCCTACATATTTATTCATAACAACCTTTTTGACGACGATCCTTGATACCGGTACTTTTCCATAGAATACATGGCCTACCTACTTAAAAAATAAAATTACAAATGACCAAACCCCCAACATTGTGTGATTTTCGTCACATTTCCTTCTAATGTTAATAGATATACTAATCATTGTTTAGAGAATGCGTAAGCTATTAAATAACAAAAAGTTGTTTGGGTAAGGTTGCTTCTTTTTCAAACTGACACCGATAAGTTTACGCTATAACTTTTTACGAGAAAATCCAAAAGCAAGAGATCAATAACCTCGGGACTAGATATTAATGTATTTAATTGGTCCGATTTACTGTAATTCTTAGGTAGGTTCTTACGTAGGTACTGGTTCTTTTCCTTAGAACCGGTAGTTTACAAATTAGATATCGTTGGTGTTGCACCTTATTTATTAGAGCCGTCCGTATTCAATTTAAGTGATGTCTTAACTCTGTATAAGTTTTGCTTTTTCTGCCTGGATTCCAAATCTTAGCTTACCCGGTATGCTAAGAAAATGATAACCTATTTGAGTAAAACATTTGTTGGGCAAACCATCATGAATTGTTTACGCCTTTATATTGTTTATGTATCAATAGTTCGTGGCCTTTGTTGGATTGTTGTATTGTGTTGTTTTGTTGTATGTTGGTAACGCATTAAAAATGTCCTTATTTCTCAGTGTTTCACTGAATGGACAAGAGCACCTTTGATACTGAAAATGTCAACCGGAATAAAGTGTTAAATGGTGAGGTTGAGGTAGTACTTTAAATACGTTTAAGTTAACCGATGTGGAAAGTAACTTTCAATTATAGGCCTACTTTAGGGCTACGCTTCATGGATCTATAAAACATTTTTAAGTTTAATCATTGGACATATGGACCAACACGATCCGGGTGACAATTAATTGCGAAGCATTTATTTTGGCTTAAACTGTCAGATACTGTATTTGCGAAGGTTTATATATAATAGTTTTGCCAGCATATCTGCAAATATGCAAACTAATTGCTGTTCTTAATCTTAATATAAGAAGGTTTCAACTGACTACTATAAGATCCCCGTGCATAGAACGGGCACACAGCTAGTCTTTATTAAATAAAGAACAAACGATTTTTTCAGGTGGATTTTTTAAGCTGCAATTCATTTAAGCTATACCATTATATATTATAAGAAAACCGTTGTAAGATATATCACATTTCTATGACAATCACTTATAAAGCAGTTTAAATTTTCCATTATAAGCTATGCCCCATTATCACAATTAGAAATTCACAACCCCAATCAATTCAATTCAATTCAATTTGGGAAGAAATTCGCAATTTATAAGCTAAGCTATGCCATTATAAGGTATGACACTACCAACTCGAAATCACTGGGCGCGTTCTGGGAACATGTACCGGTGCACCGCACCGGTGCATGTTATATGTATGTTCCCAGTTCCCAGTCCCAGAGGCCAGAACGCGCTCACTGACTGGCCATCCGTGTCTGCCACTCTCACAGACAGTAAAAAGAAACAAACAAATAAAAACACAAAACATAACCTCAAACCACTGGCACTGGCACTAACCACAACGTCCACAGCAGTGTTTCCATTTGAGGGATAAAAATCCCTTTCTAGGGATATTAAGGGCCTTCGAGGGATTGAAAAGGGATTGAGGGATAACTAGGGATAATCAGTGAAATTGAATGATTTTTTAGATTTTCTAGGGATTTCAGGCCTTTGACATTATAAAATTGAAATATTGATAAAATAATACATTATGGCTGTATTTCAACAACGTTAAGGACCTATTTTGGCTAATTTTGCAAGGTATTGATAACACATTGATTATACTATTTTTTCCCTAGGTTTTGGTAACAAATCTATTGTAGCACAGATAAAAGATACTCCTCGAGGTAACAGCTAACACTGCACGAAACAAGCAAAGGGCTGGAGTCGGTCGGTGGAATGGAATGGTCGATCTAGATTACTGTAATTTGTTTCTTAGTAGCCCTGTGCCCTGTGTCAATGTCGAATATGTTTGTTTTCGTTTTGATTTTGTTTGCCGGTGATTTCTGTGATGTTTTTTGCTTCGTAAGTAACTTGGTGTAACCTTTTCACCAAGGTATGGTGGCCATGTTTGAAAAAGACAATTAAGTTTGAAATTTGGACACTTGAATAGGTAATATTTTTGAAACAGTTGTAAATACTTATGAATACAAATTAAGTTATTAGTTTATAAAATTTTAAAAATAACTATTTGTTTAATTTTTTAGTTAATTAACTTGTTTTGTACAACATACACAGTTTTTAATCACGGCTACCTTCAATTCCAGGCCGGAGGCGGCCTTCGAAGTGGCAACGTTGCAAGTATAGTGTTGTAAAAGGTGTTTGATTGGAGAACGCTAAGCTAATGATATTTATATATTTTTTTTAAGAATACGAAAGCTTGGTTACTGGGCTATGAAAATGTTGACTCCACATTGAATGTACAGAAATAGATTTTCAATTTATATTGCTTTGGTTTTCGATTCTATATTATTGAGCGGAGCGAGCGAAGCTCTTATACTACACTCCTGCTTTTGTTTTACAAATACTCCTCCTGAACGGCTGAAGCGATCTTCACGAAATTTAACACAGTCATAGTACCCAACCATGGGAAGGTATAAATCTGAAATGGTACAAATCGGACCATAGGAATTTTCCCTACATGAATGCAAAATTTTAGAAATTTAACATGGGCCTTATGGGTTAATTGGTTGCCATGACATTATTTGCGAGTCAACACTAAAAAGTAAACAAGAGCCTCGACATATGTTAGTCAACAAATCTACCACATTATAACTACAGTACAAAAGAAAAAAATGTGATGAATACTAAAGAGTATATTAGTTAATTGCATGTAATACGAATTGATTAAGAATCAGTTCTTATTCTTTTTAGTCTACATTATAGTCGAATTGATAAATTTTACTGCACCAAAGGGAAAATTTGAAATTGGTTGACAATATATTTCTTACTTTTAACTGCTAAACTAAAACTAGACCTAAGTTATATGCCTATACTTAAAAACGAATTGATAATTTTAAAAATCGATTAGCCTATCTCAATTATTCGCTGTTAGGAAATGATTACACACAAAAAGTTCATGTATTTATAAAAAATGCATTCTTATCACAAAATTAAGTTATAAATGTCTAAATAAAACTGATCAGTGAAGTTAAGAGAAAATCATATTCTAACTAAATCAGAAGCAAAATTTTAAGGCCGCCGAGGAGATTTGAACCTGCGATCTCAAATAATAATCGTTATTGCCTTTTAATAATGCAGGTATCGCATAGGTTTACCATTATTCATTTGCAGGATATAGAAATTATTGAGCAGAGCGTAGCAAAGCTCTTATATCATTGACTTTAACTTCTCTTATCCTACACTCCTGCTTTTGATTAATAGCATTGAGCATAATTTACTACAAAATGAATAACCATAAGGGTTGCCAGAATTAGGCGAATGCACCATATTGCGTTTGGATTCTGTAAATAACTTTTTCAGTATTTTATGTGAGCAAGACGTGCCATTAATGTAGACTTTGAATATGCACTGCAATTCCTATTTGCAGTCTACAAATAGGAATTCCATTAAGGTGAACCAAATATAACACTCATAGTTTCGATACTGCAATTAGACAATTCTTTGACATGAACCCGACGTATCATTTGACTTACTTTGAATACTGCACATAGACATCCCATATAAGTGAAGCAGAAGTTGGCCTAAGCCTACCATTGACTTCGGATACTGCAATTCGGCATTTTATCTAAATGAACGAAATAAATGGACAATTGATTTAGGATACTGCAACTGCAAGTAGACTATTCATTTACATGCACCATTGAGTTTGGATACTACAAGTAAACAATCCGTCTACGTGAACCGGACGTACCATTGACTTTAGAATCTGTAAATAGGCATTACATTTATGCGAACCAAATATATCATTGACATTGAATTAATATGCTGGCTCCGCTCAATATTGCAAGCAGACAACTGCATTGTACACCTAGTATGTTTTATTTTCATGTTAACAGTGATGTTAACTTATAGGACGTCTTGCGCTAAACAATACTATAGATAAAACATACTCCATGCAATACTCGTATATGCAACCTAAGGGAGTATGTTTTATCTATGATGCAACGTTACCAATTCTACTAGGCCGCAGCCTGCCTGGAGTTAAAGATGGCTGTGGTTTTAATGGTACAAACATGTTTTTTATATAGTATTACTTTATAAATAATATGGGATAACCAGTTACCATATTTTAGGTGGCTATACATGATATTCATTGGTAAGGTATTGCTGCAAAAATAATAAGTTACCTAGATTTGATGAAGAGGGATAATTGGAGGGATTATTAGAACACGGACTAGGGATAACTAGGGATTTTTTGACGTTGGCCTAGGGATATTTTTTTCTTGCGGATGGAAACACTGGTCCACAGTCCACAACACAACCGACTCGACTACCAACACCAGCAGGATAGCACAATTGAATGTTTATTAAATAAACATATACAATTTTTGTATCATTTAATAACTGCAGCATCAAAAATCTGAAAATATTCCCGAAATAACTTGGAGATTCGCTACATAATGACTTCAGCATCCAAAGGAGGCTTTCAACCCGTAAGTTTGAATATGTTTATTTCTTTTAGGTTATGGTAGGGCCCAGTTTCTGGTTTACTCTCCTAAGTAAGTCATAAGTCATTTATTTAGCCAAATCAACCAAATACAATTAGCGTTAGCTATGTCAAAATAAACTTAAATAAACTGGAGTAAAACTTAAAACATCACAGTGGAGATTCTCAAGATTCAGAAAAGGGCCTTAAGAATTATCACCTTTAATGACAGACTGGCTCATAGTAGGCCATAGGCCCCTTTTAGTGAAGCTAGGAATACCTACTGTCTTCGGCCATTACATTCTCCTGTCCCTTCTTCATGTTTGGGATAAACATAGAGACCCAGTCCATTCCTACAACACCAGTCAGAGAAACATGCTGGATGTTCCCTGCGTTAGGCTCTCTAAGACAGCTGCTACCTATCGAATTCAGGGTCTAAAGTTTTTTAACAAACTGCCGATGACCATTGGGGACTGGAGAAGGGGTTATCTCAAGGAAAAACTTATGTTGATTATGAAAGAGAGAGCCTACTAGGCTATAGAATATCGGAGTTCATGACCGATAATGAGATTGCAAACGTACGGTGGCCATCTTTCTATAATTTCTGTAAGTTATTTTTAACCTGTAGGCCTATACATGTAGGCCTATATAACTTACTTAACCCTCCGAGTGTTATGTGTCGTAAAAGCGACTCATAACACATCCGCTGTAGTGTTATGTGTTGCTTTTGCGACTCACAAACACTGTTTGCGGCGCCGGCTCTGGGACTGACTGAATCGGATTGAACTGGATCGAGTTAGGTATCGTTTTTTTCAGCAGATTCAGAGCTTTCTCCTTATGTCTGTTTCTATACGCTTTTCATTTTAGTTCCGAAAATATTGTAGCAGACAGCTGACGTGCGTATATGTAAACAGCTTGGTTAACCTCGCACTGATGACTGATGTGTTTTATTTCGTTTATCATTGTTTTAGTGTTAAAAATCAAAAGTAGTGATATAAGTGGTGCATTATAAGAAGATTTAAGTGATTTTGAAAAGCTGGTTGATGATCCTGAAGAAGTAGGTAGTGATATTGATGTAAATTATCAGCCATATTCCTAGCTATGGTTAAGCCATGCATTCTTAGCTAAACGCTATGTACCGAAATCTGCTTTTTGCCCATAACTTATTTATTTGCTAACCTACTTCCTTATATTATTATATTTTTGGAATCCTCATAAAATTCTGAAAAAAGTGGCTATTTAAAAATATTTGTAAACCTATTAGGCCTTATTATAACAATTTATTGAGCGTAAACATAAATTTTTTTCATTTATTTTAATAGCTTAATTTTTGAGAAATGTTAACCCCACAAAAATTGTTGAACATTTTTTTGTAATGTTTTATATGTTACATTGAAGCCCATAATTTTCTAAACAAAATTATATATAAAACAGTATACTTTTGTGATATGCAGAAAACCCTCTCATACCTCATAGGTTATCCTGCATAAGCATATGGGAGCGTAGCTTTATAGCAAACCCGAATCTTTAATCTTATTCTACTTTATGCTATGAGCTGGGTAGCTGTTCAATAAGAGAACCAGATCGTGTTCATCAAACAGGATTTTTAATTGTCTTTAAGTAATAAAGTTTAATACAGTGACGGTTACTTTCAAGTATAGCCTACTAACAAATGCCTGGTAGGAACCGCTCTGGAGGTAGCTTGAATCTTAGATTGATAATCCCCAAAAACGAAACGAAACTATTCCCTTGTAATCTAATCAAATCAAAGTATCTATCCCCAAAAGAATTCCTTCAAAACAAATCACAAAACTCCAATTAACTTACAGTCCCCTTAAATCAAAAACTTCCCGTACAAAACTCCCGACTACTGGGCCTAACCCCAAGATAGAGAAACCAGTACTCACCCAACTCTCCTGGGCACCTTGCCCCGGGCAACTGACCCCTTTCTCTACCTCAGGTGGCCTATTTATTGATCTAACAGCTACTGAGTGCAAAGCCCTCAGTGTTTACAAAACACCTCCAGCACGCTTCACAGCAAGTAAGGCCTGACCACAGGTCATCAACCTAGCTTGCCCAGGCTACCCTCCTTTACACTTTACATTGTTTTTAAGTTTCTAAGATACATTTTAATAAAACCCTGCGATTACGCAATAAATGGGTGAACATTGAGACCAAAACTAGAGACACTTGGAGGGTTAACTTGATACTTGTACCTAGGTATCCCATTAGTAGCACGGGTGTGCCATGGTTGTCAAAATTTTGGCCTATTCTTGATTTAAAAACTCTTCTACTGAGTAGTAAGGCCTGGTTGTTAAAATATTCTTTAAGCGTGGATTTAAACTTCTCCGCATCTTCAATTTCCCTTATGCCTGCTGGAATTTTATTGTATATTCTTATGCATGTAGGTCTTGGTCCATCTCTCACTAAACTGGACGAAACTTGCGGTACATGTAACATTTCCTTCTGCCTCGTTGAATAGTTATGGATTTGTTGATTTTTTGGAAAATGTTCTGGTTTCCTTTTAACTGTCACTGCAGACTCAAGAATGAACAGAGCAGTATTTTCAGCTGTAAGTACTTATAAAGATTGGTTTACAATGTGATAAGTAAGGTTCTCTCGCAATTGTTCTTACTATGCGTTTTTGAAGCAAAAATATACGCTCCGCCAAAGGACTATTCCCCCAAAATATAACACCATAGTTCATTATGCTATAGAAGCATCCAAAATAAACTTTCAACAGTACAGCTTGATCAACTATCATTTGCAGCCTACGTACCATGTGGCACACAGCTTTCAGTCTTGCTGCTGTGGCATTCACTTGGTTTTGCCATTTTAAGAAACTGGCTATTGTCAGACCAAGATACTTAATAGAGTGATCTACAACAATACTAGCTGCCTCAAGGCGAAGTAGTGGGGTGCTTTCAGGCTTCTTACGGTTGTAGAATTGTATAGCTTTAGTTTTACCCCTATTCAGTATAAGATCGTTTTCTTTACACCATCCGCTCATTTCATTTAGGCCAGTTTGCGCCTTGTCTCTTAGCCTACCCAGGTCACTGTCCTGCACTAAGTGACTCACATCATCAGCAAAAAGCCACACTTTCCCTTCAGTTAAAAATTTGGGTAAATCATTGACATAGGCCTAGATCAGAAACAATACTGGTCCAAGGTTGGAGCCTTGCGGCACTCTGGTGTTTATGGCAGGGGAAATTGTGGAACGGTAGTTTCTTGTTAGTCCATCAGAGCCTGAATATTTTATTGTTACAATCTGGTGTCGGTCCTGTAGGTAGGTAGAAATCCATTTTACTTTTCATTGGAGTGGCTTACCTTTAATTAAAATATTTGCCAGTTTAATTTTAAGTTTACTATGGGAGAGAAGGTCAAACAAAGGCCTTAGTCATGTCATAAAACAAGCACAGGGATTCTTCCAACACATCCAGGTTGTCATGTACTGAGACTAATAAATAAAAAATTGCATCAGTTGTTGAACTGTTTTTTTCTAAATCCATATTGTTGTGGACGTTTTGGTGATAAAAGATTGTTATGTGATAAAAAAGGATTTTTAAGTCTTTTAAGGAAAATTATTTTGAAAATCTTAGAAAATGCACTTTGGACTGCCACTGGCCTGTGGTTTTTTACTTGATCTTTCTCATCCTTTTTGTGGATAGGTACTACCTTGGATGTCTTTAGTTTGCTAGGAAAATCTCCATTTTCACAAGATTTATTTATAATTTTAGCAAGTGGTTTAGCAATTGATTCTTTGCATGGGGATATCATCTACTCCACAGCTTTTTTTAAGACTAACCTTATCTATACCCTCCATTACCTCACTTTCAGTAGTAGGCCATAAGCGGAAATCCTCACCGTCACCAACACCCGATATCAGAGGCTCCTCTTCACTTGTCCCAGTCAGTTTTAATACCTCTTCTACAAAGTAATTAATTATTAAATACATTTGCAACATTAACTGGATTCGTTAAATGGATTCGTATTCATCATTCAGTTTCAAGCTTAAATTAACATTATTTACAAAATTATCACCACAAGTTAAACTTTTTACTATCTGCCAAGATTCCTTGCTAACATTTTTAGCATTATCTATTTTAGAATCGTAGAATTATTTCTTGGTACTATTTAGGAGTTTGGCATGTTTTAAAGCATGGCTAAAGGACATGGCTTTTTACTCAATTGATGAGTTTTTTGCCGATTCACTCTCCTCCCTGCTCACCATTTGTACTCTGTAAATATTAATGATAGGGCTAAACTTAGTTAAATGTTTTCATATTCAATTTTATGTATGAAGTGATGTTTTAATTTTTTATTGACATGAACAATCCAGTTTTCTCTGGTAAAAGTTCACGACAGAAGGTGAAAGGTAAAAAGGTATGTTGATTTTTAGCATTCAAGTATTCTGTTTTTGAATTATTACTAGGCCTATTGTTAGGTATTTCTTGTCTCCCAATACAATTGTGTTAGGTTATCTTGTGACCGTAAAACTTCTTGAGTTACCCATTTAATCGGTCTTGACATTAAAAATGCCCTTTGGAAAACATAGGCTAATTCAAATATATACAAAAATGTTGTGTAAAACTGGTCAAAAATAAAATCCACACTCTGATTTTTGTTATCAATTTGCCAGCCTTGAGTTGCCGTCATTCTTGCAAACAGCTCCAGAGATGAGCTATTTATTTTCCTCTTCTCAATGGTTTTCTTGATAAGGCTGTGTCTCATGGCGAGATTAATTTTGAGGTACAAAATATTATGGTCAGACAGTATTCTTAAGGCTGGCAGTGCTCCAGAAACATAAGCTTTCATCCAAACTAGTAATAAAATAATCAATCTGACTAATACTTTCCTCTGTTACTCTGGTAGGGGTTTTCAAAGATACATGTAGGCCATATGAGTCTAAAACGTCATATAGACATTCTTTTTGCCATGATTCTTTCAAATTGTCCACATTTAAGTCCCCATTGTATACGTAGTGAAGTATTTTTTCTTTTTGTGCATTTAAAAGAAATGTATTTATTTTTCTGTTGAGACGCAATTCATCCCCATTTTGGGTAAAAGATGAAGAAGGAGTAAGTAAGTAGGCCTAAGTACGTGTGCATTTGGTTGTTCTGTAGACTATTATTTTTAATATATCAGTCATCCAATCATTGCAATGACATAAAAATTAAATTATGCGTAAATTTAACTACAGGCCTATCAATTAGATACAGTGCGATTCTTCTGGTAATTATTTATAGGTAAGGTGCGACCGACGGAGGGTTACCAAAACTTATGTGGCCCAAGTGATGTTTCCAACTGACTTCAAATCCAAAGATTTAGCCTAATTAAATATTATGAGGGTACTTAATGGGAACATTCATTATTATCAATGACTTTTTCGATATAGCCTATCTATATTTTATTTTTCAATCCGATATATCGATATTAGGCCTAACAAATTGAAACATATCAGTTGACAACTACGATAAATACATCAGGTATGAAGTAACTAAGTTCACCAGTCTGTGGCAGGACTAGATAGGAGAGTCTCGCATTGGATAAATAATTACTCAGATGTAAATTGATAAGATTGGTGGATATTTAGTTAAGTTCGTTCCACATATGATTAGGCATTTTGCTACTTTATACCCATCTGCACTGTGTGTGTAATGTTATTAAAGTTGTTCTAATATGACTACAATAGTAGTAAAATTAAATTAAATTAAATTAATTAGTAGTAAACTATAGTACCTAGCCTAAATAAGTTAGGACCTGATTTTACGAGAAAGGAGGTATTAAAAAAGTTCTTATTATTTAGTTATTTTATCGAAAAGGTACTATTGACTCAGGTTATTATGGTTTATTGCGTGACAACTTTGTCTTGTTTCGCCGATGAACAATATTTGTTTAGCTTTACAATAGCTACAATTAAAAAATGGAAACACCTCCTATAGGCCTACATAATATTTTAATGTTTGTTTTGTATCGCCCACTTAGGCAGGTCAGTTTTATAGGTCTGATATTTGTTGTTTTTCTCCAATAAAGTCAATTTTCCAAGCACAATGAAGAGTTTACTCCAGACAGTGCCACCAACGTTTTATGTGTGTTTATGGTACATTTCAGTATTTAAATGTTTTTTAGGACTCAGATGTCCATATTACATTTGAAGATCAGCAGAAGATCAATAAGTTTGCACGTCATAATGCAAAACTAGAAGATTTCAAAGATGAACTGAAGCAGAAACAGGTAATACTTGTGAAATATGTAACTAGCTTGGCAATTTATTTATCTATTTAGCCTATTTACGACAAAGCGCCATTTTACATTAGAATACAGTGCAATGAAACTTACATAAACAAATTTTAATACAAAACTTAGTCCAATCAATGTAGAGAAACAAAAAGATAATTATAGGCCTACAAGTTTTAGTTTTAAAAATAGGCTTTTGATTTTATCTGTTGTTAATTTGTTTAGTTGGTGTCTGTTATATTTATAAATCCTTTCATTATTCTTAGAATGAGCTGAAGAACCTTGAAGAGGCCGCTGACGAAATTGAACTTCTGTCAGATGATAAAATACCTTTCCTTGTGGGAGAGATCTTTGTTTTTCAGGACCAAGAAAAGACACAGGTATGTAAGACAATAACAAAATAACAATTGTAGTTTTTTACCAGAACATAAATGGATCTTTTAGGTATGCTTTTAGGTGTGAGTGATAAGCCCAAGTGTGTAAATAAAGTTTATAGGATATGATACTCTGACACTAATGTAAGTTAGATACATTTTTTTATTTTGTTAGCCAATGAAAACAGGTTGGAGGTGTACCAAGCCCCAGTATATGCTGAATATGATGCCTTTCATTCTGTGTTTTCTTATGCATTTAAAACACATTTTCCTAAACTACTAAGGACTGAAACAATTAATAACAATAAAAATGCTTGGATATCCTATGATTTAAAACATAAAAAAGAATAATTATAGCGGACTTGGAAAAGCAATACAGAAAACAAAAAACATATTTCCTAAAACAGGGAGTCAAACAGTTAAAAAAAGAACTGAAATTCCAAATATTAAACGAGAAAAAGCAATACTTTGATAGAAAAATATCTGATTCTACCAATAAGTCTAAATCAACAATGGAAAATTATCAATTTTGAGATTAAAAACAAAACAAAACAAGAAAAGAACATTAACAAAGTATTAAATGGGTAAGTGTAAATCGGACCCCACACGTGTAGGAAACATATTTAATGATTTAATTTAATTCACAAACCTAATCAAATCAAATCAAATCAAATATGTCTTTATTCATAATATGTACAATTTATGTACAATGAATAGTGTCAGATCTTATTTCTAATAAATAAAAATAAGTACATTAAAATTAATCTATTTACAAGTATAATACAGAACACCTCTTTTTACCAACAAATTTTACCAACAACGCCATTTAACTTATTTTATTTAAAAACTCATTAATTGAATAACAAGTGTTCTCAATCATGAATGCCTTTAAATTTTTATTGAATTTCTTAATGTTAGTCTCACTTTTCAAACTTTCAGGCAATCTATTAAAGAATTTGGCACCCTTATATGTGGTCTTTTTTTAAAAAAATTCTAATCTATGTGTTTCTAATTTTAAATCATTTTTGTGTCTAGTGTTATAAGTATGATTATGGCCAAGAAAACTAGTATTAGTCATGCTCTGCTTTACATACATAACACATTCATATACAGTAGAACTCCAATTATCCGAACTCCAATTAACCGAATCTCCAATTATCCGAATCGCTTATTTCAACAATTTTAAAAACATAAAGCTACAGTAATAAGTTTTGCAAAATATCAAAGAATTGTTATTAAACACATTTAGCCAATTTTGGACTTTGATGGAACACTATTGACTTAATAACATGTATAGAACACTTGTACTATGAACATTGTAAACTGTAAAAATGTTCTGATTTAAATTATTATTAATTAAAAGTTCACTTAGTACCGAAAATGAGGATTTTTCTTTACAATTCCTGGAATTCCGGTTAAACTCTGATTATCCGAATTTTTGATTATCCGAATGGGGTCTGGTCCCTATTGATTCGGATAATCAGAGTTCTACTGTATATATAAACCAAACACCGACAAAATTCCCAGTTCCCTAAACCTATCCTTTACATGAGCCTTGTACTTCAAACCTAGCATGATTCTTATACATTTCTTTTGGAGTTTCAATATCTTTTTTAAGTTTTTGTGAGTTGTTGCTCCGTATACACAAAATGTTGTATGCCAAATGTGAGTGAACCAAGCTAAACTATATTACTTTTAAAGTGACTAAATCACAAAATTTAGATAATCTTCTAAGGACATAAATTCCTGAATTCATTTTGCCTTTAACTTTGTTAATATGTTTATTCCAGTTTAAATTGCAATCCACAATTAAACCCAAAAATTTTGCATCCGTTACTTCTGAAATAATGTTGTAGTTTAATTTTATTTCTGTTGAAAACCCATTTTGGTTCTTATTTGTATTAAAATTTATAAAGTTTGTTTTATTAAAATTTATCTGTAAGTTTAGATTTGTCAAAAATGAAACTATGTTATTTAACTCTTCTTCTGCAGATCTTTTAATATGTTCATCGGTTGGTCCTGAAACTTTCAAATTTGAATCATCTGCATACAGAACTACTTTGTTGGCATTCTGATTAACCAATATATAATTAATTCCATTTATGTATATAATGAATAATAACGGGCCTAATATAAATAAACCCCTGTGGGACTCCAAATTTTATGCACTGTGTTTTTGAATTTATTTTTGTTTGTTTTCCGCCAGTTGTAGAAAGCTATTTCAACAAACTGTTGCCTATCGGTTAGATATGATCTGAACCAATCAAGTGCTTTGCCTTTAATACCAAACTGTGTCAAAATGTTAACCATGGTACCATGGCAGACTCTATCAAATGCCTTTTGTAGGTCCATAAATAGTCCAATACATTTTTCACCCCTATCAATGGCATCAATAATGGACTCAATAAATTGAACAGTTGCTGTTTTGGTCGACTTTCCAGCCCTAAATCCATGTTGGTTGCCATTAATTAAGCAGTTACTTTTGAGAAAGTACATTAATCTAGTATAGACAGATTTTTCGTAAATTTTTGAAATTGTGGGTAAAATTGACAGTGGCCTGTAATTTGACGGATTTTTTGGACAATCTTTTTTGTGTATAGGAATAACTTTTGCAATTTTAAGTTTTGATGGAAATATACCTGACACAAAAGATGAGTTTATTAAGTGAACTAAGACCTTAACAATAGCTTTATCAACATGTTTAATCACTTTAATAGGCACTTCATCATAACCACTAGCATGTTTGTTTTTTATATTTTGAATAATGGTTAGTATTTCTTTTTCATCAACTGGTGTTAAATGGAAAGAATTTGTTATATTATTTTTATCTCTTTGACTGCAATTTTCATTGGCAGAACCATAACTATTGCCCGTTAGAGATTCCTTTGTAATATTAATGAAATAATCATTAAAAGTATTAGCTACTTGTAAAGGATCAGTAACAGTGGTATTATTTTTTTCTAAATGAATGTTTTTTGTATTCAACTTATATGAGCCGGTTTCCTGATGAATTATTTGCCAAACATCTTTACTAATATTTTTCGATCTTAAGATTTTCTGCTTGTAGTAATTTCTTTTGTTATTAATGACATTTTTATGGTAGGTTATGTTTTTTTGTTTAATGATTTTACCTAGCAATTTATTTTTGTTTGATCTATAAGTTAGTGCCAGCTCTGATATTTCTTTCTTTTCTTCTATTAGTGAATTACATATCCACATGTTTCTAGCCTTATACTTTCTAGTTTTAATTTTTGGAAATGATATATTAAAATAATATGTAAAAAGATTAAAAAAACAGTTATATTTTAACTCAACTGGAGCAGCGTACACAGAATACCAATTTTCTAGGCACAAATGATTTTTAAATAAAGCCATATTTTCCTCCGAGTAAGCTCTTTTACTTATTGTAATTTTTTGAACATTACTGTGTTTGGCATTGTTTAAACGAGACAACATTAACAATTGGGCATCATGATCTGAGAGACTTGTAATAATACCTTCAACATGAATTTTACCTTTGTCAATATTGGAAACAAAATTATCAATTGCTGTTGCTGTTGACTCAGTAACTCTTGTGGGAAAATTAACATGATATTTGCAACCAAATCTTTTTAGTAAATTAACAAACTCATTTTTCATTAACTGATCTTTAGCATCCTCTAAGACATTAATGTTAAAATCTCCTGCTACAATTATGTAAGGACAAATCCCAGTAATAATTTCTAGAGCATTACTGAGTTTTTCTAAAAACACCTTATCACTAGCTGCAGGTGATCTGTAGATCCCCATTAGTGCAATTTTATCCTTCCCGTTTTTAATTAATACCAAGCAACATTCAAATATTTTATCTATACATAAGTTTGTTATGCTTGTTATATTAAGGTTTTCCCACTTCACACTGCCATTCGCCATTATCACCACCCCACCATTGGATGTATGTCTAGAGTAAAAAGAACACATTTTATAACCATTGATATTTATTTTATCAAATTCGTCATGTTTTAAGTTATGCTCCGTTAATACCAAAAATGCTGGATCAATTTCTTCAAGTATTATTTCCAATGACTCGATTTTATGTATCAAACCTCTTATATTTTGATTTAATATTGTTACGCATTTTTTGGATGTACTACAAACTATCCTGGGTTTGTGATTTTGGCGGTATGGGAGTTTAAAGTGTTGGAATTCATACTGCTATCTACATGATGGATATTGGTATTTATAAAACTATTTACAACATTATTTACAACACCATTATTGCTTGTAATAGTATGCTCAGCAAGAGATGACAACCGGGGACTCACATCACTTACACCCCCACTAACTGCACTTTGCTCTGCTTTCAAACCCCCCTTGTCACATGACACTGCAGCGGCTTCTGCGTAGGAGTGGTGTCCAGGTGTGACTTAGGTTGGCTGGGGCTGGGGCTGGTCTGATGTGATGTGTTGAGGCTTGTCTCCACCGAAGCACCTGGTGATGAAGGGCCATGATGAGTAGTGGTACTGAGATCACTATTTTTACATTTCTTCGCTTGGCTATATATATCATTTACACGAGATGTTCTGTTCCGTCCTATTCTTTTTGAGCGTCTCAGGGGTGGATGAGTAGTTGAGGGAGGAAGACAAAACAAAACCAATTCAAAACCAAAACCAATCACAACATCAAACCCAATCACTCAAAAACAAAACCTAATTCAAAACCAATTGCAAACTGACAAGTTTGCAATTGGTTTTGAAGAGTAGATTTTGGTTCTGCTGCGTCACTGAGATCAGATGAAAAGTTCCCTAAGAGCTTGTTGAATCCTTCACGTTTCTTCAGATCAGGGGTTCTCCAGCCCTTAAAGCCAGGAGGGTGTGATGGAGGAGTAGTGATGATGTTTACACTTGGCTCTGTCTCTATAGCTTCGTCGTGAGTTGTTAAGATAGTCTCTGTATCGGCAGTTTCTCTCTCATAGGACAAACTGGACTCACATTTTTGTTCAGCTGAAGATATAGCAGACCGCAGCT